ACCCTATATTATCTATTAATTTTACAATGAAAACATCAACTTAAGCACACTTCCACAAAATGAATTGAAGAAACATAAGACCAATGTATCGATTAAAATGTTGTGTTCCAAGTTTTCATTTTAAGGACACTATACGTGGAAATAATTCAGTACGTATTTCTTAGAACGTGACAACAAGACTTCTAGAAGAGCATATATTTTATGAACCTCATGTGCATTTCATGAGCAGTAGATGAGCAGGGCATGTTACGCTTCAGAACCTTCCTACCGAACACCTCTTTAATTTAAAGGAAAACTAATGAAAATAACTTGAAAATTTTGAGTTTTAACGATAAAAACAAAATAAAAGATAAAGTGAATAGTATCATGATTGATTTTTAATGTAAAAATATGATTTTTCATTAAAATGAACAGTACCAAAAACTTTCCGTTAAAATTCCTTTAATTTAATGATTTGCCAAAGTTTTCCAACAAGGCGGCTTCTAGGGCTCAAGAAATATGTATATGAAACTACCCTCGTTTAAATAGTCTGTAATATTGACTTCATTTGTTAGGTGTCAAATAATGCACCCATCATGATGCGACAACAAGTTTAATATTATTGATCACCAATTAGTCAATGACAAGGATAGAATTGGTGCATAAGAGTATTGGTAGAAAACGGAAAGAGATCCTCTCCGGATCTCTTCCTCCAAAATTCAGGAATCAAGTGATTCGATCATTTGAAATTTTATCTAATAATAAAAAATTATTATAGCTTTTAATAGTTTTTACTAACTTCTCTATTTTTAACCGTTGGATCGAATTTCAAAGATCCGGATCACTTGATCCCTGAGCTTTAGAGGAAGAGATCCGGAGAGGATCTCTTTCCGTAGAAAACTACCAGTGACTGCTTCTGTCACACCCTAATTTAAAATAGGTACTTCGCTCATGCATGCAACCTCTGCCAATGAACTAGATTTGGATGAAACATTTCAAGCAGTTTAGGAGAATACAAGCCTATGTTAGCAAAGCTATCTGTAACAATATTCTCCTCTTGAAAGATGTGAGAACAACAAAAGTCATTTCGTGAATGTGGGCTAAACAAGTAAATCATTATGTACGAAGAAGCAAAGGAGGAACAAAATCATTCGAATGGAAACACGAAAATAACATTAGAATAGTCACTTTCTAACCAAAGACAACCCCAACCCCTATGATAAGCAAATTCTACACCAATAATTATTGCATAAAGTTCTATGAAGAGAGAATTGTGATGGCTAATATTACGATTTCTTTTAGACAAACCATCCATATGTTTATCCAAGGATATCAAGGAGGGGACCATAGCACGAGATGAATACTAGGGACCTTGTGAGGAATATGCCGAATCTAGAGAAGAAATGACACAAGTATCTAAACACCGGGAGTAATCCTACTATGGATGCGACCAGAAATGATAGACATGCAAAGATGATGGAAAAAGATTGAACATCCCTGAAAAATAAAGCTTTCCAAATAGCCGAAATCGTAGAAAGACCGCAAAGACTCAAAGATTGTGCAACTGACAAGAAAAGAGCTTACACATAAAAGCATCCCAAAAATAGCCAAAGAATCTAAAAAAGATAAAGATTTACAAAATTGGCATGCTAACCACTTCCAAGTTGCTAAGAAAATTGACGGCTTAAAAAAAGATGAGTAGTAGATTCCTCAAAAACATGACAAAGGCAATAAATAAAAGCCAAAGAAATATCATGTCGTTGTATGTAACCTCGGTGGGAAGTTTATCATGAACAAGACGACAATCCAAAATAGATAGACAAAGCAGAATGAATACCACCAAATAATTTGTGTCCTAGCACAGCTACTATGTCTTATTCGAATTAGATCACAACTAGAAGAAAAGGAAAATTTCCTAGAAGGTGATGACTCCTAAATGAATTTGTCATCAGTTGTTGTCAAGGCAAAGGATGATGCGAAATTTTCAGTATGGGATTAGCGACATGAACTAAATGTCCTGTCCAAGCCAAGGAACTCAATCTGACTAGTCCTGACAAGTGATGATTTAGGCGAGTTGCGGTAATACAGAGGATGCAAGAGTTATCCATAATGATTGGGCGTAAAGCGTCTTAGGTGGCTTTTTAAGTCCTCCATCAAATCCTAGGGCTCAACCCTGGATTGTCCATTAATTTACTTAGCCTACACCTGTATTCTAACTCCCTATTAAACAATATCGAATTGAACTGCCATTTTTCCTGTAGAACTTTCTTGCCCCTATTTACATGAAAATACAATAGATGAATAGTCATTCGATGAAAATCATTACCCATAGGCGGGAATAAATCCATATAATCCAGCAAAGACCAACTCTGAGCTTGAATAACATTTGAAACCCGAGAAAAAGCTACAGGAGAAATGAGTAGAGATAATGAAGGGCAAATAATCGGCTCACCCAACCCTTTACCACATCAAAAAGAAACTAACCTTCATCTCCAATAAACCAATGACTATTGCTATTCAAAATAGGAAAAACACACTTCAAACCATGCCACATAAATGACCACAAATAGACATCTTGTTTTTTTGCAAGGCGCAAGAAGAAAATGCTTACTGGCAAGGAACCCCACAAAGAAGAATATTGTAAAGCATCACAACCAATATTGAGCAAAGCCATCGAGTTCAAAATAGCTAAATCATGAAGATTAAGGCCACCTTCCTGGTGAATCAAGTTACTCATTCCAATTTCAAACCTGAGTTCTGCCTAAAAAGTAAAAAGAAAAAAAAAAATTATTTAAGAAATCTTGTACACAAGCAATAGTATCCACTCTAATTAACAATATCCCAACATTGACTAATAGAAAAAAAACAAGGGAAACCATCAGGTCTCGGAGCACTTGAAGGTTCCATGAAAATTTGAAAAAACAACATTTCTAATTTCATCAATTGAAGGCAAACAAGAAAGAGTAGAAGTTTCGTTCTTTACCAACCATAGACGGAATGACACTAAAATCCTAAGCTGCTGGCTTAAATATGATATCTTACACGTGTTAAATTTTATGTTAGCATGATTGTTATCATTTGTCAAGAAGTAAAGGAGTTATATTTGGGTTATAGAAATATGTGAAAATTAGTTTTTGTATAGTTGAATTTATTGATTGTGAAATCAGTTCCAGGCGAGTTTGGTGTGTACATTAGAATAGGATATCAACTGGATAAATTTGTTGATTTGGGTGATCTGGGCCAAAGATCAATGAATTAAAGAGCAAGGGTGTTTATGAATTTGGAGGTTTTGCAGAGGTTATATTATATACTAAAAAATTTGAGACTACAGTGGTAAAATGTATGGTATGAGACATGCATGTTTGTTTGTTTTAATATATAGATTAACAGGTTAGGTGGAATTAAAGTACATTCTTGCATTATATACTACTCATAAAATATTATATATAAATATTAATCACATAGGACTTTGGCCCTATTGAATTTTTAGATTACCCCTTAATAATTTTGTTACAGGAGGTGAGACAGAATCTTGTGTCTGACTTGAAAAAAAAAAGAAAGTTTCTTGTAGATAGTTTTGGAGTTTTGTTGTAGAAAACAAGTTGAGAGAATGTTGTTATTTCCTTTCCTTGTAATGAACTAAGTAAATTATATTTTGTTTAATGAAGTGTTTCCGTTCAATACTAGCACCTATTATTAGTTAAATTTAATTTATCCTTTAAATCACGTCTTAAATCAATTTAGGGTGTGACAGCTTCAACTGAAGGAGAGATTTTTCAGTGTGATCGGCACAAAAGGTGGTATATCACGTGTTATTATACAAATGGTGGAATATGTGTGCTGAAAAGTTAATAATTTAAAAATTAAAATTTTCCATCACTTATATAAAAACACGTGTGGTATACTATCTATATTCCAGTCACAATAAAAAATTTCTCCAACTGAAGATCGATAGCACGCTACCGACTATAGCATCCTAGGATTCGTGAAACGATATCGATCAGCAGCGATCCCACCTTCCCATAACACCATATTATATATTCTACAAAATATATTTTTGGTGCAAAATCTCTTATAATTATATTTCAAACACTAGAAAAACAATGACATAAAATATAAAACTAAATAATTTAAATTTAAATGGAACAGATGTCTAAGCATATTGAAGAGCATGTTGAGAAGCATAAAGCCGGTGTCAAGGTCCAAGGATTGTAGATTTGGGCTCTGGCATCGGAATCAGGCCTATAATATGTCGCTTCAAATAGAACAATGCAGTAGATCATTGGCCACCAGCTTTGCTCATGACAAAGGGGCAATGTTAGAAAAATTCCTTTGTTTATTTTCGTCACTATAAATCTGTTGTGGGATGTCTACACAACTTTGGATTTATGTAGATTTTTGCAAGAATGATTTATGAATGATGTATTAAAAGATAGGCATTTGGATTGTTGAAAACATTATGGAATGGGTCGTACAAGGTGTCCACATAAAAATAAGCTTATTTGAGAGATCCCTTGTAGGTCCAACTCCACAATGTTTTTTTTTTTTTTTTTCCAGGAATAGAACCGTCCATTTTTTAGATATTCTCTAAAAAAATCATATTTACCAAAAAATCACCAAAATCCAAAATCATATAAGTGTTGGATTAAATAATAGTTATTTAGTGGTTTTTTTAAAAAATAGTATTAGCGTTATGCAATAAGTAGACTTCGCACCCTTGCCACATAATTTGTGATACACTTCTGTGATCTAAAATTTGATCGTCTAATTTGTTGATGAATTCCTTTTACTATCGTAAAAACTGCAAATGCAAGAGAGGAAGAAATTAAACTAGAAATCTTTGAGCCAAATATTAGTAGTGGCTACGTTGCATAAACTAAAATTTATTATCCATGTGAAAAATTATCAAAGAGTGGGTACATAAACATAATCATAACTTTATTAGGGGTTCTCGATCGTAGCCGATACGAGCCAAGTACACAGTTAATGACTCTTCAAGACCTCATGGATGGTTATTGAAATCATGATCTTTTGCCTTGCTTGACCTTCATAGACACAAATTTGATGGGGATTGTCGCATGAGCCTGAACAGCAGCAGTTGGACTTGGGCATGGGGGAGTGGCTGAAGACGGAGCAATGTAAATAGCTACCTTTTGCCCTCTGGGGCAGTGCCCGTCAAAGGTGCTCGTGAAATAAAACGTGTCGCTTGCGAGAAATTTAAGCGTTGATGGTTCATCGAAATAAAACAAGGGATTCGAGGTGTTACACGCATCAAAATCTTCCTTGGTTACCATAGCCAAGTCTTCTTCTCCTTCAGTGAAGTTAAATACTGCATGTACAAACAACAATATGTATAATTAGTCTAATTCTATTTTGTTTTAGTATAATCATGATCCATGCAGCTAGATCATCCAAATTAATTCAAAAGAAAGAAAAAGAAATTCAGAAGTATAAAATCCAAGAGGTAATTAACTAGTTCACCTAGAATATCGTTAACGAAGAAGCTATGCTTGGAAGCCCAGGCAGCATAATAGCCAGCTTGGGGAGGAATAGTCCAACCCAACTCGTCGCCGACGGAATACAATGCAGCTTCTGTTGTAGGTAGCACTACGGATATTGCTACGATTGCTATAGCAAGGACCATCACATTGTTCATGTTCATGGTTCTAGCCATCTTTTCTATAATATTGTTGTCCTTGTGTATTGTTCTTGACCTTACAACAACTTAATGGTGTCTGAATTTATAGAGCTGAGAGTTCTTGAATTTTAGGATGCGGATGAAATAGACCAGCCAAATATTATAAGTTGTTTCATCAATTGTATAAATCAGCTGTGACATCCGGCAATTGCTAGCTGTGTGTGGAGCAGCTAGATTATTAATTGATAAATTATTCATGTAATGATAGGTCGATGTTAACTATATGTGTCGATTATGTAAAAGAATTTTTAGATGATAATTCCTAAACACAAACAGTACGATTTTAATAGGCTTTTTTTTTTCTTTTTCATTTTAATAATTATATGACAAACCTGCAGGCCTTGTAACCCTAAAAACGAACGGTTACGAGTAATTGTAACAGCAATGTGATATAAGTTTGGTTTTATATAGCATTACTTAACCTTTAAATTTCTGGTTGGATTCTTGTCTCGAATGCTATAATGATAATGCAATACAATACAACAAAAGTTTCAATTTCAAAAGAGTGCTCTTTTCGGTATGACATTTATACTTTCAACAATATGTAATATTACGCATCTGGCTATGTACCTACCATAACTATTTAGAAGCGTCGAGGACCAATAATTATTTTATTCTTTAAAGAGGTAAGACCGTAAGATTTTAGTTATCTTTTCAAGTTTAGAGGTATTTCGGTTTCCTTATGGTCGCAGGATCAATCATTCTTTCCTGATGAAGTAGAAAGTTTGTGCATTAGTTCTTAAACAAATAACTGACTTTCTAGATGAAGTACTTGAGACTAATACATGTGACGAACATCATGAGTTTAATTTATTTTTAAGCATTGGATCACAAAACAACTAAATTCAATTTGTAAAATGTCAATTACGTTCATTTCAGTTTCTTGCCTTTTTGTATCCAGTTAGGAGTTTAAAAGATTTTAAAAGAGTTTACTAATTCAAGGATATTCAATCAAGATTTTAAATAAATCCACGGAAGTCCATTGGTAAATCAAAATTTTAAAGAAGTTCATAAAACTCCATAAAAATCTTGATGTATTTAATCAAAATTTTAAAGTAGTCCATAAAACTCTATGTGTATTCAATTAGGAATTAATTTTAAAGTATTTTTAAAAAATTAAGGATTTAATTTGATGGATTTAGAAGGATTTTATAGTGTATAAAGTCTATGAAACTCCACTAAAACTCCATCAAACTTCACGAGGAGCTGCATCAGGAGAAGCAAGTAACAACAAGAGCTTCTTCCCCCTTTGAAAACTATGTCCCTCAAATATGTGCACTTTTGTCCCAACACTCTTTGCTTCCTAACCCATTACACGCCTTCTTCCTAGCCTATTTGCTTCCTAACCCGTTACAGGCCTTCTTCCTAGCCTCGTGGGTTAGTGCGGAAGCCTGATTCCATTTGGTTCCTGGGTTCGAAGGTGAGTGATGGTGATCATTGCATATATATACCGACTGTTTATTCTTGACTGCTGCTGCTGTCTCTTACAGTACTTGGGCTTCAAGTACATCGTCAAAATCGTATCCCAACCCTATCGACTGTATGGCAGCTTCCGTCTCTGACGTCACCCCTTTCTTCCCGCTCATCCAACTGCGCTCATCCTTCTCTCTATATTTTCCTCTCACTTTCCCATCAACCAAGCACCTTAACCAGCATGATGCATTGCCAACTACTCATCCTTCTCTGAGTTCTCTCTATGTTTTCCTCTTACTTTCCCGCGTGACGGATTGCCAACATGCCATGTATTTGGCTTAAATGGGTATGAAGATAAATTTACAAATTAAATTAGATTTGTAAGTGTAGTTTTAGGCAAAAAAAAGTTGGGTTTAAAACGATATTGATAGTTCTCCTTAATACTTCCCTGCTTTATGGAGAATATTTGTGTTTGGTTTGGTGGAAATTTGAAAGAGGAGCAAGAACGATAAAGAGTTTTGTGTGCATTGCATAGAACCCAAGAAAAATCACCAAGATTTGGGCGTAACCATAATTATAATATAGAATTGGTACAAAAAGCAAATTAGGAAATATACTTGTTTGGCTAACAACAAGGAAATACAAGGACTTTATTGTTACAGACAATTTAATTTCTTTTCCCCATCTAATTAGACAGGCAGAAATTCGAGCGGCAGGGCCTGAGGAGCTTCCGTAACACTTGGACTTGGACTAGTAGAAGAGGTGGACGACATGGTTGAAGAGTCACGGACACGAACCGCTACCTTTTGCCCTTTCTTGCAATGCCTGGGCAAGCTGGAGGTGAAATAATATGTACTACTTCCACCAAATTTGATTTTAACTGGATCCTTCCTTAGAAATAAGGGATCTTTAGTGTTGCATTTGTGGAAATTCTGCTTTGTTACCAATACTACGTTCTGTTCTCCTACTGCGAAATCAAACACTGCCCAAAGAACGCACCATGTCATCGTCATCATCACAAAATTTAACCAAATTTCAGTGAATATATTTTCAACGGAATAAAAGAAGAGAAATAGCTAAAATGATCAGAATCCAATTCTCAATTGTTGAACTAATCAAAATTAAATATTTTTTTGCAACTTTTTTTTAACAAACGATATTATCTATTCTAAGGGGGGAGGGGGTAGGCTTAGTCTCACAATGAGCTAACAATAATGTGATTCAAATTCGCCTTTAGCGAGAATCGAACCTAAGACCTCTCACTTATAAGTGAAGAGAAATACTACTAGACCGTAGTACTATTAAATATCCACAACATAACAATCAAAGATTGATGACGTAATATTAACGACATATTGAAAAACTAAGCAATTGAGATTTGAAAAATGATCATTTCGGCCAATTTTGTAAAAAAAAAAAAAAAAAAAAAAAAAAGAAAGAAAGATCTAAACTGGAAGATATAGATAAGTTTACCTATAACATCGCCAGTTACAAAGCTGTACTTGGCTGCCCATGAAGTATAATCGGCAGCGCCACCCGGAGGAATGGTCCAACCCCACTCGTCTCCAACTAAAAATTCTCTACCTTCTGCTCTAAGTAAAAAAAATTGCTGCCATTGCTACAACAAGAAGCATATCATTCATAGTAATTTTAATCATCTTTCAAGTTCTCTGTCTTTGTGTTCTAGCAATTGTATGGAAGTTATGATATTTCGGATTTATAAGGGAAACGATCTTAAACCTCTGGAAGACGGCCGGCCGGCCAATTGGTCGTTCAGAAGGGGCCGGATCTATAAATATTCTCTCATATATGCATGCCATTGTGTGGTTGGGTGACATCGTCCGGCAAATCCAATCTCTGTATTGGTGAAGTTTAATTGGCACGTTATGATCTACGGGTAGGTGAACTTCGATATTTATTATGCCAAAGTATATACTGAAAATTTTTAGTGAATTGTTATTCGTACTCTAAAAATCTCATGTGCATTCCAAATTTTCTATAATTAGAAAGAAAAATACATTTCCAAGGAGTGTAGAATGAGATTTTTTCAATACTAATAACAATTCCCAAATTTGAATGATAAATAATATAGATATACCTGCTGCTAGCCAAAGTAAGTTAGTTGGAGAGTGGAGACTATTGATATAAGTAAAATTCTTATAACAGACTTTTGTAGTTGTAATTAAATATAAACAATTATTGCTAGTATGTAAATAAGCATATTATCCTTTTCTCTTTCTTTTTGCTGCATTTGTGCGTTAAACCAAGTGGTTAGAGCACCTAAGTTCAAATTTCACTTCTCAAAATTTAGAATGATTTAAATTATCACTTTTCTAAACATTTTACAATATTGACAAATTAGGGCAATCATAAGTATTTCTAACGGCTAAAGGCATAAGCCACTAGGTACATACCAAAACTCGTTGTACAAGAGAATTTTTTCTTTGCATCCGAAGCACAGGTGGTATACCATGTATCGTTTTATATATACAGAGTATTTTATATTTTAAGTTGTTAATTTTTAGTGGTCCCATCTTGGAAACTAAAAAGAACAATACTTGGCTACTTAAAGATGAGTAAGAACTCATACTCAAAATTTCTCTAAATTGTTCGTTGTCAATTTATAGAACTTTATGTTTATAATCAAAACTGTTCATATTATAAATCACTCTATAAAGATCGTCTCTGCAAAACATCAATTAAAACTAAGGTTCTTTAGTCATCAAACTGTTTAGAAACAAATGAACAATATTGGTAAAAGTATTAGGAACCGTCTATGTATTTGCTACAATAGATTGACTAAATGACCTTAGTTTTAACTTATTTTTTTGCAGAGATGATCGTTACAGAGTGATTCATAGTATGAACGGTTCTGATCATAAGCACAAAACTCTATGATTAAAACACTAAGAGTTTTGAGTAGGTGTGATGACCAGTCCCTAATTTTCTATGTAATTTCTCCCCAAGTATGTGAATTGACATTTATGCCCTTGTTGGCAAGTGACATGGACATGTTTATTTGTTCTTAAATTATTTTTCTCGCTATCGTAATTAAATTGTACTCATCACTACGAACGCGTGAGCGCGTGTTAAACTCGAATCGGACTTGTAACGTTAAAGTTACGCTCCGTCAAAGTACAAGGATAATGGATAGATTTGTATACGTGTGTGTATTAAATTATCAGTGTTAGAAACACTATGCTGGATAGATTTTCTGATTCCTTCTACTGTAGGAAATCTGAAAAACCCTATCCCTAATTTCTTTTTAACCTAACCCATGCCTTCCTTTGTCACTCACCAATCAAACTTTCCCATTTTCACTTTCACCAATCACATCTCTTCCCACTTTCCCTGCACCAAATCACAAAAAGAGAAAAGCTCTCTCTCTCCCTCCCGAAGTCTCTCCTTCTCTATAATCGCCATGAACAAGCACCAAAGTTTGTAGATTGAGCCCAAAAATCACACCATTGTGTTCATCTCGACTCCACAAACATAATCATACCAACCCAACTCAAAGCGGATGAGTTTTGACTCACAAACTCGGAAGGTTCGAATCGGACGAG